AAACGCCCTAACCTTTGGAATAGAATGGATAGGATTAAAATCAACTGGTATAAATACAGATGTAACAGGAGAATAAAGACAGAACCTGGCTGAAGAACCTGGCTAGAACCCGGCTAGAGAACCTGGCTCCGTGCCATTCCTTCTTTGCCAACTCTGTCCACACCTTTGGGAACCCCTGGACCTGCTGGGGTTGGACCCCAACATGATACTATTTGTATTGCATTTTAAAGAGAGAGGAAGGGAGAGGGAGAGAGAAAGAGAAATATTGATGTGAGAGTAGAACACAGATCGGCTGCTTCTTGAATGTCCCCTCACTGGGGATGAAGCCTGCAACCTGGATTGAGCCTGCCACCCAGGCATGTGCACTGACCTGGAATTAAACCAGCGATTTTTGGGTGCACGGGATGATGTCCAACCAACTGAGCCACACTGGCCAGGGGTACTGCCAATTTTAAAACAGATAGAGAAGCAAGGTTGTAAAGTTAAAATCAAGCCAAAACCGTTTGAAGCAAGTGAGTAGGTTATTCAAGACCTGTGTGAAGGAGATGAATACAAAAAAGAGATGCTTGCAGTATAGATATGCAAAGTGACAAAGTAATAAGCCATACAGCACAACATCAATTTAGTTTCCCAATCTATGATAGCAGCTAAAACAAACACCTCACAACAGTACACTGCCAACAGTATCTTCTAAATTAAAGAACAGAAGAAGTGATTTCATTAATGGATGCTTCAGTGACTAGCTAAACATTTACACACCCCACAAACACTGTACTCAAAATTTACAGTAGCAAAGCAGCCTGCAGCAACCAAAATATTGATTGACTCATAAAAACTCAAGGTCATTAACCCAAATTTCTTCTTGCTTTGTATAAAACTAATTGCTAGGCCAGGGAATGCAATTTCTGAGACAATTACCAGGAATTGGGGCTTTAATGACTTTGTCTTGATGTTTTGCATAAATAAATAGTAGCTAGCTGTCTCATCCAGGACACCGGGTGAGTTTCCCTCCGCGGCTCAGAGTTAATCAAATGCATTTCTCACCATGAGCTCAGGTAATTCTTTACCTGATGTGGGCCTGTGCACATTCCGAATTTGAAGTTTGTGTTCCTGAAGCAGTGCACATCCTTAGGCCAGCATCAGTATCTGATGATACATGATTAACTGTGAATGTGCGCAAAGGAAAACAAACAAGTGTAAGCCATCAAACAAGGACCAAAGCCCAATGTAGACATTTGCTGGTTTGCCACTGCAAGCAGAGACTCTAGTCAGCTTCTGGGTTAGCTAGGGCAAGGTGTTGGGGGGGGGATGTGGCACTTATGAGGTCTGTTTGGAGCCAGGCAACCCTTTCCTCACGTATCTCAGGACATAGTCAGGGGTGGCCTACTGCAGAACAGGATGGACAAAGAGGAGGCAGGACCAGAAGCAAATTTTCCTCCTGGAGTGGACAGGCTCCAGGGAGACACAGTCAGCTGAAAGGGCAGTGAAGGGAGAGCTTGGAAGGCCTGGTGGGAGGCAACCTTTGGTAGTGCCAGCACAAGGCAGCTCTACCCAGCCTGATCCTTCCTGATTTTCTTTATGTACCACTACCTGGATCTCAATCTTTGCTAGCATCTTTCGCTATTACCTTTCTACCATAGACAACCTTGTATATTGGGGCACGCAGCTCTTCCACGGGGAACCTCATCAGCGGTTGCACCAGATACGCCTAGCTTTTGCATCATCACCTCTTGGACTTCTCTGGAAGTGGTCTCCCTGGTTACTGGATGGCTGGCTGTCTCATAGAATGAATGGCTCCAGCTGCCCTGCTTGCCTTGTGCTGGGAAGGAGCCTCAATTCCATCCCAGCTGTTGCATCTGTCCTGGTCCTAACCTCTTGGCTAACCTCTTTGCCTCTGAATTCATTCTCTTAAGCCTTAGTGGGTTCGGTCCAGCATCTCCCCTCCCCCGCCCCCCGCCCCGTTCAGATAAGCTGGCCTTGCCTGGCACCTTTTACCTGAAAATCTACAGTCATAAATGGTGGTGTTTGACTCTTCCATAGTGCTCTCAGTTGGCACTGCTCCCCTCTGCTGCTATAGCATATAGAAAGTCTTTGTAATCGCCAGGGCCACCGTCTACCTTTCCTCCTGGGTCTACCTGCTGGTCCAGAGCAGGCAGGACAGGCCTGGTACCAGTGGGACCTCTGCTCCCCTTCTGCATCATCACCATGGAGACAGATGCCCCAGAGGGGCTGCCTTCCTCCCCTCCTCTCTGTTCCCATTCCCCAAATGCTCACTTTCTAGGGGGCTCTGTCCCTCTCAATTTCCCTTTTGCCTACCTTCCTACTAGTAAAACCTTCTCTTGTGCACGTGAAAGTGAAAATGGCTGGTATTGTGGCCCTGAACCATAGTCTTCAGTCTTCTTTATGGAGAACAGGACTCCATTGTGAAGGTGAGTGGACCCCACTGATCAACCCAGACACAGATACCAATGGTTCCTAGTGGGCAAAAGGGACATTCCCTTCAGAGAATTCAAGGCTGGTGGGTTCCATCCTGAACCTTTGGAAGCTAAAGGGCCTGCCCAGGGCAGAATGAATCACTCTGAGAGCCAGGATAAAAGGCCCCTCTGCCCCAGCTCTCCCTTGGTGCAGCCACTCTGGTGTGCACCACTCGTGGGCACACCCTCAGGGAAGCTGGCCTCCCTGGTGGGTCAGGTTGCAGCCCCCATTCCTCAACCTAGTTGCATTAGGCCCCACCAACTTGAGGGAAGATAAAGCAAATAAAACAAAGGAGTTCAGTGTCCAGTTTCATGCAGCTCATGCTGGAGTCAGACGTCTCATAGCCACAACGTTCTGGAACTCAGACAGAGCTCTCTGGTGGGAGCCTGGGGCCAGATCATGAAGGGTCTCAAAAGCCATTTCTAGAGGTTGGTCTTTAGTCCAGCTGGTGTGGCTCAGTGGTTGAGCATCAACCCAGGAACCAGGAGGTCACGGTTCGATTCCCAATCAGGGCACATGCCCAGGTTGTGGGCTCAATCACCAGTGGGGGCATGCAGGAGGCAGCCAATCAATGATTCTTTCTCATCATTGATGTTTCTCTCTCTCCCTCTCTTTCCTCTCTCTGAAATCAATAAAAACATATTTTTTTAAAAAATAGAAGTTGGTCTTTATCCTAAGAATAATCTCCATGAAAGGTTTTTAGGTGTAGGAGTGACAGACTCAGATTTATATGTGGGAGGTAGCTCTGGCTTCCTTGCGAAGAATTGATTGGAGTGGGGTCATAATGAGTGAACGCTCAGAAACCAGATAGAGACACAGGTGACAGAGAATGGCAGCTTGAATTAGGGCATTGGCCTGTAGCGATGGAGAGAAGTAGACAGGTTCCTGAGATATTGAATATGAGGTGGGGAGAAGGAAAGATGTGCTAGGCATTGTTCTAAGCACTTGACATTTAAAGCTTATAGTGTCGACCTTATGAGATCTGTACTATTACAATCCTCATTTTTTTTCAGATGAGGAAACTGAGGCACTGAGAAACGAAGTAGCACTCAAATAGTTTCTGATTGGATGAAGGTATGAGAGCGAGGGAGGGAGGAAAGAGTAAAGGATGACATTGGTTTCTGACACGAGTACCGAGTGGATGTCAGTGCTCTTCCTTCCTTCCTTTCTTTCTTTCTTTCTTTCTTTCTTTCTTTCTTTCTTTCTTTCTTTCTTTCTTCTTCACTTGAGGATATTTTCCCATTGATTTTTAGAGAGAGTGGAAGAGAGAAGGAAAGACAGAGAGAAACATCAACGTGAGAGAAATACATCGATTGGTTGCCTCCTGCACGAGCCCTGACCAGGGCCCACGCATGGGAAGGCACCTGTAACCAGGTACGTGCCCTGAATGGAACCGAACCCAGGACCCTTTGGCCCACAGGCCAACACTCTATCAACTGAGCCAAACCGATTAGGGCCGGTTTCTTGAGATGGGGAGCATGGAAGGAGAAGTAGTTTTGGGAGGAGGGAAATAATGAGTTCTCCCTTGGACTTCGGCTCAAGAGATGAGCTCTCCAGCCCAATCTCCTTAATGTTCCCTTTAAAAGAAGCCACTCTGATGCAATTTAAGCATTTGAATCAGAAAGAGCTGTGATGAAAAAATATTCAGGTTTGGAAAGAAAAAATTCAGGTGTGAGGAGCCGTGCGTTTCAGTGATGCGGAATGACGGCTGTGGATTAATTTTAGGGCTGTCGGGTACAGCCTACCCTTTGGGATTGTTATCCCTGAATCATGAAAGCGAAGGCTTTTGTCTTTGCAGTAGTAGCCACCGCCTTAGAGCTTTTCCTTCTCTTGTCTTGCATGTAAAGCCACTTCTTTGAAAAAGGATTCTTCACTCTGGCGGCCAGAATGAATCAAGTAAATATGTCTTTAGACAGTTTCTAAAAATCTGTAGTTCAACCCAAGAGACCAGAATGGTTCCTGTCTCCTAGGTAAACAGCAATTAAATGGTGTATTAAAATATATATTATGTCCCCAATTGGTCCACGGGGCAATTATGTATTTTAGGAATATTTTTAAACATGTGTTCTGCCTCCCTCAGCACTGTTTCCATCCATCAAGTAACTGTATACTCGGAACATGTGTTCCGCATAGTGCGAGTGGTAGAAAGCTCTTGTTAAAGGGAACCAAACGAACAGGCATCAGCTGCAGCCCATTTTTCAGAAGTGTTTATGCCAACCAAACGCAGACAAAGGAAAACAAAGCCACGGAGGCGCGTTGTCCGCCATGGGCCCTCCCTCGCTGGCTGCAGACACTCCAGGGTGATTCCGGACCACGCAGAGCAGATGTTGGGGCTCACTCCTACACCTCTGGACTTGGGCTAGGAGATGTGGAAAAAGAAACCAGGAAGAAGGGTTATACCACAGGTTATCGCCCCAAGGGAGAACTTCACACTTCCCCTGAAGAGAATGAAAAGCAGGTGTTCCCTGGGCTGGTTGGTAATTGAGAAGCAATAGGCCAAGGTCCAGCTCCGTCGGGGTATGTGGTGTTCACCAGAGGTTGGAGTGGATGCCAGCTGTGGGCACTCGGAGGAGTGGGGGTAGGGGCACAGCAGGAGGAGTGGCAGGGCCTCCCTATCCAGCCTGAGGCTGGGGCTGGGTCCACTGGGTTATGGACACCAGCCAAGGCCCCTGAGCTCCTGCCTCACTGCTGTTCTCCAGGACACAGCAACAAGCGGGTACTTCCATTCTCTCC